CCTGATTTTTTTCAATAGCTTTATTTTTTTTCTATTTTCCTTGATTTCATCTCAAGTTTTCTCAAGACTCACTGCAGTTTTCTAATTAACATTCTTTTAGATTCTTTATCAGGTACTAATGATACTATTTCTGGTGCTGTAATTTCTGACTCTGTATTTTGTTCATTATTTCTTTGTGCAAACTGAAATTGTTTTCTCTGATACACTATGATGTCTATATTTAATTGATGATTTTGTATATATTGGTGCATTCTCAGGCACTCACCACCTGTCTCCTATGTGAATGCAGTTAGTCCTCTGTTCATTATTTGTGCAGTGTAGTTCAGGGCAAGTTCATGTGCCTCCAAAAGCAGGGGCTCTATGCTTGATACCCAACTCCAGGCAAAGCAGAGGATTTGTAGGAGGGAGCTGCTACTGGCTATTGGGTTGGTGAGGGCATCATTCCTTCCTTTCACTATATTCTCTATGCTCAAGAACAAGCTTCAGAATCTCTTCTGACATCAATTTTGTTTATTTTTTCTCTTTCCTGCATTTTTGATAACTTTTTGCTTTCTTCATGGATGATATTGTTGATGTCAAGCCACAACTCTTCTGGTCTTTTGTCATTATGTGTCTAATGCATCAACTGTTCTTAGGAAGGTCTCTCATTTCAGGTGGGATACGTTCAAGGTTATACTTTGGCTCTCATGAACTTGTTTTAATTTAATTTTCTTCAGCTTCAGTCTGGACTTGCACAGGAGCAGTTGACAGTCTATTCGACAGTCAGCTCCTGGTCTTGTTTTGACTGTTGACATTAGAGCTTATCCATCATCTCTTCCCTCAAATGTACTCAATTTGATCCTGTGAATTTTGTCTGGTGAGGCCCAAATATATAGTCACTGTTTGTGTTGTTTAAAGTTACTGATTTTGCAAAATTCTATCACGTGATCCCCAGCATAATTTCTATCATCAAGGCTGTATTTTCTAACTACCGATCGTTCCTCACTGTTTCCAGCTTTCACATTCTACTCACCAGCAAGTATCAATATATCTTGACTGCATATTTGGTCAATTTCAAGCAAAAGACATTGACAGAATTCCTCAATTTCAACATCTTAGGTTTTAGTGGTTGGTGCACAAATCTGAGTAATAGTGGCATTAACTAGTCTTCCTTGTATGGAATTTATCCTGTGGATATTATCCTATCAGAGACAGCAATGTATTTCAAGGTAGATCTTGAGATGCTTTTTGAGGATGAATCCTATGCCATTCCTCTTCAATTTGTCGTTTCCGTTGTGTTGCTTTTTTTGAGGATGAATGTGACGACCTTCCTCTTCATTCTGTTATTTCTGGCATAGTAAACCATATGATTGCCTGACTCAGACTGGCCAATACCTGCCCATTTTCGCTCACTCATGCCTAGGATATTGATTTTCATGCATTCCATTTCATTTCTGATGTTTAATTTTCCTAGATTCATAATTTCACATTCAGATTTTTTTTTTTAAGTTTTAATTGTGAACTGAGTGCTAGTTTACATCACATTCAGATTAGTAATGGATGTTTGTTCGCAGCTGTTCCTTCTCAATTTGAGTTGTGCTACATCTGTTGGCGTAGTAGTTATGAATCAGGCTGCGAACCTTAAGGTCAGCGGTTCGAAACTACCAGCAGCTCCGTGGGAGAAAGATGAGGATTTCTACTCCCGTAAAGATTTACACCCTCAGAAACCCTGTACAGGGTCGCCATGGGTCGGAACCGACTCGATGGCACTTAACAACAACAACAAAACATCAGCAAATGAAGGTCCTGAAAGCTTTGCTCCATCTGTGTCATTAAGATCAGCTCTACTCTGAGGAGACAGTTCTTCTCTAGCCATAGTTTAAGCGTCTTTGAACCTGGGAAGCTCATCTTCTGGCACTACATCAAACAATGTTCTGCTGCTATCCATAAGGTTTTCAGTGGCTAATCCACCCTTCAGAAGTGGTCTTCCTCTCCTGCTTCCCAGTCTGTCTCAGTCTGGAAACTCTGCCGAATTCTGTCTACCATGGGTGATCCCTGCTGGCATTTATTACTGGTGGCATAGCTTACCGCATCATAGCAACACACAAGCCACCTAAGACGACAAACTGACAGACAAGTGGGTGTGCCTCTTTTTCAGCTTTTTGCAAACATTGATCTTTTAGTCTTGTATTTTTCTAAGAAGCCAATTCTTTATGGGTGTTATTGTTTATTTTATAGGCTTGTCTATTATTTGACTAAGAGGTAGTCTCTCGGAGCATCTTGAGTTTCAAGTAAGAAGGTTGTCTTAGGGCCATAGTCTCAGAGGTTCCTTCCATGATCTTCTATTGTGGTCCCTGTCAGCATGGATGACAGTGGTAATAACCACACACTGGTCTTTTGGTCTTGGTTAGAGAAAGCTATGATTTATGTGGAACATTAGTCCTTTAGACTAATTGCGTCCTTGGGTTTCAGTTTTCTTCATTCTCCTTTGCTCCAGGTGGGAATAGACCAGTTATGGCTTCTTAGATGGCCACTTGCAAGCTTTTAAGATGCCTGATGTTATTCAACAGACTAGGACATAAAACATTATTTTTATGAACTGTATTTTGCTAATTGACCTAAAAGTTCCCTGAGACTGACCCCTAGCCTTCAAGAACAATAGTTCAGTGCCCATTTCTAAGAAATCTGTGCCCTTTATGCTGCTGCTTCATGCCATTGAGTTGTTTCCGACTCATAGCGACCCTGTACAGGGTTTCTGAGGCTGTAAATCTTTACAGGAGCAGAAAGCCTCATCTGTCTCCTGCAGAACAGCTGACTAGTGGATTCAAACTACTAACCTTGAAGTTTGCAGCCCAATGCATAACCCACTATGCAACCAGGGCTCTAGAGACTATGATCTTTAGCTTTCAAGATGAAAAGTTTAGTGCCAATGTCTAAGTAATCTGTATAGCAGTGCCCCCTATTTGTTGTTGTCGTTTTTAAGTGTTACAAAGTCAGTTCTAACACATAATGATCCTGTACAGGGTTTCTGAGGCTGTAAATATTTGTGGGAGCTGAAAGCCTCATCTTGGTACCGTCTATATGCTCTATTAAATACAAAGGAAAATAAAAATGTATTGTTACAAAATCATAGGCATCTTTTTAAGTAAAATATCAAAATGTGAAGCCATTGTTTCTTGACATCTCCTCCATCTAGGTCTATACACTTCTGGTGGTTCTCTCTTTCTATAACTCTTTCCTTTAGAATTCCACATGTTTTGATTTACATCACATTATAATGGCAGTCACTGAGGGACAGAAATTATGTTCCTTTGAAATGTTGAGTTTGGGCAAGAAAAAGAAGTCTGAAGGGGCAAGATTAGGACTTGGGTGGATGGGGTAAGGTTTCCCTTGAAGAATGATCAGGTACATTGTCATGAGGGAAGAAAATTCCTTGGTGCAACTTTCCTGACCTTTATTCTCATCAATACAGTTTTTAATGTTCTTAAAACTTCTTCCTAATAAATCTTCATGAGCTTCCTGTGTTCTTCAAGAACACTACCAAGATTGTTGTTGTTAAGTGCCATCGGGTTGATTCCGACCCATAGAAACTCTATTTGGGTTTCCAGGGAGCAGCTGGTGAACTTGAACCACTGACCTTGCCGTTCAAACGACTTTGCAGTCTGACCCATTAGCCCACATCACCACACCAGGACTCCAACTACCAAAATTACTCCTTGGAAATCTCCTTACCCCCTTCAAAATAAAATTAAAAAAACAGTCACCATACGCTTCTGAGCTGATCTGTCTGCCTTGAACTGAACTAGTCCAGCTCAAACAAGATCACTTTGGAAGTTACTATTTTGATTGGACCTTTTTTTTTTTTTAAGGCACCTTAATGAAACTAAGACAAGTATATTACTGAGAAAACTTGTCTGTAGCCATCCACTGATTGCAGAGACGTGTTTAAACAGGTTTTGTTTGGAATAAACCCATGCACATATGTACTTTTGGACTTAACCATTGTATATGAATATACACATAGCATTTGCAAATGTGCATGTAGACATATCAACAGCCTTAACTATATATGCACGTGGGTATACTCACATACAATCACTTTCACCTATTTAGTATACATATTTACCTATGTGTCTACTCACAAATTATTGTTTGTTATTACTATTGGCACAGCATTGCATACGTTCTAGCATTTACCACAGTAGCCCTCTATTCCTATGTACCTCTCAGTGTTTTCCTTCACCTTGGTCATGTTGTGCTGACTGACTTCCTATTATGAACTGTCTTTCCCTTTACTAGGATTAACACTTGTGTACAATCTAGTTAGTGATTCTCCCTCTCTCCCTTTCCCCTGCAAGGTAGCTATCAAAGACTGGTTCTTTCTGTGAATAAACCTATTCTTGACATTTTATAATACCGGTCTCATACAATATTTTCCTTTTGTGATTGACTTATTTCACTACATATAGTGTCCTCCAGGAGCTCTGGTAGTGTAGTGGTTACGACTCAGGCTGCTAACCTCAAGGTCAGCAGTTCGAAACTACCAGGTGTTTCATGAGAGAAAGATGAGGCTTTCTGCTCCCATAAAGATTTGCAGCCTCAGAAACCCTATGCAGGTGTCACTATGAGTCAGAACCAACTCTATGGTACTTAACAAGAATCGTGTCCTCCAGGTTCCTGTATGTTGTGAGATATTTTGCAGATTCATCATTATTCTTCATCGCTGCATACTATTCAATTGCATGTATGTACCACAGTATATTTATCCACTGATACTGATGCATAGGTAGGCTGTTTTTATACTTCGTTAAGCTCATTGGATACATGCTCTTGGCATCTACTTACTGCACGTGCAAGGCTGAACTGGCTTAGTTGTTGCCTTTAACACAACCCTTTTAGGACTATGATCAGCACAATTCACTGGGAAAAACTACTACACTGCTGTATTTACAGAAATTATTTTTAAAAGGTAATTTATTTTTCAGCAATGACTTTAGATTGTAAAGAGGGTGCTAACTCACCTGAGAAGCAGGTAACTGAGTCCTTCAGTTGCTTAGCTTTTGTTGTCACCTGTTTCAAAATATAAAAGTAAAAAATATCCTTAAAGTTACTGAGTTTAAACGAAAATTTGAAGTTCAGTTCCTACGTATCTACTGTGGACTGAGTAATGTATTTCACTTACGATTCTTAAAAATCAACAGGATTCACTGAATTTTAGGCCTGGAAGAACTCTCAGTTACCAGTACATTTATTTAGCCAACAAGGAAACAGTCCCACAGAAATTAAATGACTTGCTCCAAATGATCAATATGAACAGTGGCAGAGTCAAAACAAACCACAGATATCCTAAGTACTTCCAGTTCAATGAGAGTTCCATTATATTAGGCTGCCTCTTACAAGAAAACATATTTTCAAAATACCTACAACACAAACAAGGTTTTTTCTTAGAATTCACAGAAAATGAGTATCATTCTTCACTTGTCAATATCATAATCAGTAGGGGAAATGACATTTATGTTACTGATGTTTTAATTTAAATCTTTTTCTTTTCTTTACTTTCTAGAAACCCTATGAACATAAGATTGACACAAAGGAGAGGGGCAGCAGGACCAAAGGGCCAGGCTAGATTTACATACATACAGAGTCACAGAAGTAAATGATTCTGGTTGGTGGTAATCATTTATTTTTATTTACATAAAAGGTATTGTATGCTATGTTTCATTCTATAGCTTGCTTTCTTTCATTTAACAATGTCCCAGGGATCTACATAAAGATTTTCCTCCTTTTTTACTCAGCTAATATTTACATATGGCAGAATAAGCAGATTTTAGATATGGAATTCATATAGATTTCCACCCTTTTTTTTGAAAAAATATTTTCATATGGTAGAGTATATGTATTTTTTATATGTAAATCAATGAATTTTAACAAATAAACAGGCTAATGCAACTAACATTCTAATGAATAATGATTCTGTTGTTGTTAGGTGCTGTTGAGTCAGTTCTGACTCTTAGTGACCTTATATACGACAGGACAAAACATTGCCAGGTCCTCTGCCATCCTCACAATTATTGTTATGCTTGATCCTATTGCTTCTGCCACTGTGCCAATCCATCTTGTTGGGAGTCTTCTTTTTCAAGTGATCCTTCACTTTACCAAGCATGCTGTTCTTCTCCAGGGACTGACTGGACTCTCCTGAAAACATGTCCTTAGTATGAGAGATGAAGTCTCACCATCTTGTGTTCTAAGAAGTATTCTGGCTGTACTTCATCCAACACAGATATGTCTATTCTGGCAGTCCATGGTAGTTTCAATATTCTTCTTCAATACCATAAGTCAAATGCATCAATTCTTCTACGGTCTTGCTTATTTATTGACCAACTTTCACATGATTACGGGGCTACTGAAAATATCATGGCTTGGGTCAGGTACACCTTAGTCCTCAAACTCTTATCTTTGCTCTTGAACATTTAAAAGAAGTCCTGTGCAGTAGATGTGCCTAATGCATTACATTGTTTGATTTCTTGGCTATTGTCTGGTAGCGTAGTAGTAACGAATCAGGCTGCTAACCTCAAGGATGACAGTTTGAAACTATCAAACTACCACGGGAGAAAGATGAGGCTTTCTACTCCTGTAAAGATTTACAGCCTCAGAAACCCTGTACAAGGTCACTATGAGTCGAAACCGACGCCACGGTACTTAACAACAACTTCATTCAAGGAACTCTGGTAGCATAGCGGTAACAGTCAAGCTGCTAATCTTACAGTAATAGGTGGAAAATACCAGTGGTTCCGCAGTAGAAAGATGAGGCTTTCTGCTCCCATAAAGATTTACAGCCTCAGAAACCCTACACAGGGTTGCTATGAGTTGCAACCAACTCCACAGTACATAACCACCACCACTACTTCACTAAGTGTTGATTGTGAATCAAAGCAGATTGAAGGCTTTGACAGTTTCAACCATTTTTCTGTTTATCATGCTGTTATTTATAGGTCCACTTGTAGGATTTTTGTTTTCTTTATACTGAGTACAATCCATATTGAAGGCTATGGTCTTTGGTCTTCATCAGTAAGTAATTTAAATCCTCTTTTCTCCCAGCAAGCAAGTTTGTATCATCTACATATCACAGGTTGTTAATAAGTCTTCCTCTAATCCTGATGCCATGTTCTTTCTCATATAATCCAGCTTCTTGGGTTGTTTGTTCAGCATATAGATAGACTAAATACGATGAAAGAATGTAACCCTGGAACACACCTTTTCTGATTTTAAACCATTTAGTATCCATCCCCTAGTTCTGCTTGAACAACTGCCTCTTGGTTTATATACAGGTTCCTCATCAGCACAATTGGACTTCTGGTGTGGTGCTGCAGGTTAATGTGCTGGACTGCAATGTTAGTTTGAATCACAAGGTTGGCAGTTCAAGCTCACTAGCCGCTCCTCAGAAATCCTATACAGGATCGCTATGGGTCAGAACTGACTCGACAGTATTTAACAACAACAACATGAGCATTATTAAGTGTTCTGGAATACCCACTCTTCGCTATGCTATCCATAGCTTTCAATATCCACTAAGTTGGATGCCTTTGCAGAGTCCATAAAGAAGCAAACATCATTCTTAAATTTTTTACTTGCAGCCAAGATCCATTTGATGTTAGCAATGATATCCCTAGTTCTATGTCCTCTTGTGAATCTGTCTTGATTTTCTGGAAGTTCCCTGTCAATGTACTGCTGCAGCCATTTAAAAATTATCTTTAGCAAAATTTTACTTGCATGTGATATTAATGACATTGTTTGATAACGTCTACATTCCACTGGGTCACCTCTCTTTGGAATGGGCACAAATATGAGTCTCTTAACAGTGAGTTGGCCAGGTAGCTGTTTTCCAAATTTCTTGGCATTGATAAGTGAACATGGCCAATGCTGCATCAGTTTGTTGAAAAACTTCAATTTATAGTCTATCAATTCCTGGAAACTTGTTCTTTATCAATGCCTTCCATACATCTTGGACTTCTTATTTCAGTACCATCAGTTCTTGTCCACATGCTACCTCTTGAAATGACTGAACAGCTATCCTTTTTTTTTTTTAGGTTTTTATTGTAAATTAAGTGATAGTTTACATGGGAGAACATCAGCATTACACCATCCTTTCATTGCAATGTTTACAGTCTCCTGCGTGCATCATCATTCAACAGTGTTTGCTTCCATTCCATTTTATTTGGGGCAGAGCCATACACAGAAACACTCAGGAACATATAATAATTTAAACAACCAAAGAACACATTCTGTAAGCTTGCCTCTTGGCCACAAGTACCCAGTCCCTCTCTTTCCAGAGTCCTCAGTCCTCAGCTGCTCCCTCTCTCCGTGTCCTCATCTCTGCTTCCATCTTTGGTGTTGCTGCTTCTCTGGATAGGGTCCCGCACCCTGCTTCTGTTTTTCTCCCTTGGCCATCCTTATTATTATTTTTTTTAGAAGTTAATTAACCATTATTTTAGGGTCACTTATAGCCACAAAAGGTTACATTTATTCTACTATCTCTGTTGTTTTAAATCAAGATAAACAGTAATAGAATGTTTTATAGTTAAGCCAGCCATTCCATAATCAAGCTATTTTAGAGATAACAGGTGTAAAGGAAAAAACAACATAAAATAATGCACATAGTTCAGTTTCTATAGGGCTATGCTGTGATTTTCCTTAATTAAAAAAAAAAAAAAGGCTCTGAAAAGCATTGTAGGGAGGGGAGAATAAGAAACTCTGAAAATCTAGCTAGTGCTCACAGGTGAAGACTCTTCCACTATTCTTTCACTCATTTTTGCATACCAATTCACGCTACGTCCAGTCAGTAGCCTGCAGAGGCTGCCATTTCTACTCCCCAAAGCACAGATAAAAGCCCTGCCGGGAATATGTCTTGGTTTAAACAGTTGATCCTAAGGATAGTACTAGTTGCCTTACCAATTTGCTTTTTATTTTTTTCTCAAAAGACAGCCAAATGTCTTAACATTATTTCCTCCCTTGTGCCCATTCCAACCATGTCTCAATCCCTGTATCCCAGAGCCCTGTTGTTCCAAGGTTATGCATACATAATTATTTACCTCTATCCCACTTAGCTCATGCAAACCTGCCTAATTGTTTTCCCATCCATCTTGTTCTTCCATTCCCCTTGCCTTTCTTGAGTATTGTTCCCCTCCCCAGCACCCAAACTATCCTGTGTGTATTCCACCTTCCGCCAACCTCCCCTCATCCCACACCCCCCATTCCAGTAACCAGCAAAGAATTCCCCACCCCCACAACCCCCACCTCCCACCACGCTTTAGTATGAGTTCTTTTTCTGAGTCTTTTATAACAGTGGTCCTGTGCAGTATTTCTCCTTTTCTGACTGACTGATTTCACTATGTTGAGTGAAATTCAACATTATGTTGAATGTCCTCAAGGTTCAGCCATGTGATGTAATAGCTTACAGCTTCCTGTTTGCTATTCTACCTTAGTGATATTGAGAGATTTGTCTTCTAGCTCACTTGTTCTGGCTTCCATCTCTTTTATTCTACTCCTTAGCCCTTTCAATGTATTGTGTATTTCTGATATTCTATTATTAATCATTTGGACCTCTTTCTGTAGGTGGTGAATTGTTTCCAATGCTGTATCTTATTTGATTGTTCCTGTAGCACTTTCCAGACTTCTTCCTTATTTTTCTCAACTCCATAGTAAAGTGTTTTGAAATGTTTTATAATCATTTTTCTGAATTCCTTCTCAGACATTTCCAAGGCCTGCCCTCCTTCCAGAATGGAGTCCAGGTCTACCTCTAGGTCATTTGTCTCACATTTTATCTTGTTTCTGGACATGTGCTGATATGGTCATCTGCTTTTGCTTCTTGGACATGTTTAGTGTTTATTTGTGGCATTAAAACTTAAGGCAGCCCCTCTAGTCACCAAAATGGAGGTACACAAACAGTGGGTAGTCAATGAACATATACCAAAAAAAGAAAAGAAAATCAGAACAAAGCAAAACCGACAAAGTGTACTGTCACCTTTGCTCTGAGGTCCCTGCGGCATTATTCCGTGGCGGGTGTATGTGGG